ACACCAAGATTTGTGATTTTGTCCTGGTAGCATTCAGCACTATGGGAGTAGAAGCAGAAACTAATGGACATTTAGTATGTGTTCAGTATTTATACAGTGAATGAATACATGGATGGCTTACGGTTGGAGTTCTGCTGAATGTGACTAGTAAAACAACAGGGGCAAGGGAAATTGAGTGAGATACTGGTGAGTATGGTTGAATTGATGCATTCTGGTATCTGGGCTGTGTAGGGAAGGAGGTGAAGCTATGAGGTGACCATTATACTTAAAGAACAGGGAGATACCAAAGCATTTGTTTTCCAGTGAGGTTCAAGTAGGTATAGTGCAGGTAGGTGTAAGAAGACTGAAGAAATACTTTAAAGAGTGTAATTCTAGGCATGATTGGAAGTAAGTAGAATGGGTAGAGGTGGAGGTGAAGGTGATTGGAATTGATAGTGATCAGTGAGGCTGGAAGTGTGCATGGAAGATGCTGTGGGTGATGGCAGCAGATAAAGGATGGAGAAGAAAAGGGTATTTTGGGTATTCATGGGTATTACAACTGTGCTTGTGTTCCACTAGAGCGGCTGGCACATGTACAGAGGCGGTAATAAAAACTTGGTAAAGAATTGATTATTTTGTCATTCTGAGTTTTTAGTCAATGCCTGGACCACTTAGGTATTAGAAAACCACACAGTAGGACCATTTCAGAAAGTACAGTAAGATCGGTTGTTACAGTGTCATGAAAATTAGGAAATTCTTAACTTTACCTGCAAAGATATTGGGGGATGGTAAATCCACTGGATCTGTGCCTGAGAAAAGCAAGAGGTAAGGGAAGTCCAGTTAGGCCAAGGTCTGAGTCGATAAATTTATCCCCATAGAAGCTGCAGCTGTGATGTTTGCCACAACATTAGATGATGGACTTTTATATAGACACGAGGGGGCAGAATTAGGTATCTAATATTTGCCTGGAGTCAGCTGCTTCTCTGACCATCTGCAGTTTAGATAGGTAAACAGTTCTCTCCTAGGGAAAAGGGTATCTCTCTGCTTTTCTGTCTGTAAAATTCATTTATTCATCAAACACCAAGTACATGTGGCTCAAGTCTGTGCTAAATGCTAGGGGTATAACAATGAATTGGGTAGGAACCAACAGGAATTCTAAAGAAGGTGGGAATGGAACGATTAGATTTGTTCTTAAACAGTAATGTAGAAGAAAGTTTGGAGTGGGAAAGCCTCGGTGAGACTGCTTAAGAAGCTCTGCAGTAGTTCAAGCCAGAAATCAGAAGGGCCTGCAGAAGAATAGGGATCCAGTGAAGAGGCTGGATTCAGTAAATTTCTGTGGTAGAGTAGACACAGTTTGGGTACCATGTAGAGGAGGCTGGGCTGTGAGGAAGAGGGAAAAGTCTGGTATGAGATTTTTCTTAACCCCATGTGCGAGTTAGATGCCTGGTGATAATATCCAAGGTAGGAAATAGAGGAACAGGGATAGTTTGGGGAGGACAGTGAGTTCAGGTTGAGAGAGAGCTGCCTACAGCTGCACTGTCCAACGTAGTAGCTACCAAGCACACGTGGATATTACTTGAAATGTGGCTAGTAAAACTGAGGAACTGAAGTTTAAATTTTGTTTAAGGGGCTTATGGCTGCCATATTGGCCAATACTGGTAGAGAGCATTTCTATCATCACAGAAAATTCTGTTGGACAGCATGGAGGACATCTAGGGAGATGAATTCCAGCGGGTAGCTGGAAATGGGAGTATGAATCTTGGAGGAGAGATTGGGACTAGGGAGGTGATTTAGAAGTCACTGGGAAACTAGGAAGTGCTAGTGAGGTTGTAGAAGTGGATGAGCTCTCCCAGAGAGTAGAAGAGTAGAACAAGAAGAGCAGGCGGAAGTGAAGATTGTAGAGAAACAAGATTAAGGAGGCTGGCAAAAGAAGGAAAGCTTTCGAAGGAGACCAAGAAGTGTTCCCTCTAGTCCCATACTCTTTCTTGCCTTTTCAGTTTTATGTTCTATCTACTAAATATCAAATGCAGTGCCCTGCATGCAGTAGGACATAAACAGAATTTCTAAGAGGTTAATCTTCATTTTAAATTCTTGGAGCATGTCACTGTTACCTTCATGTGGTCATTGAATCAGGGAATTCTGCTCTGGGTGAAGCAGATTAGGCTACCTACAAGAATATCTAATACCATTTTTAGAATACAGGATCAGGAAGTAGAATCTTTTGACCCTACCCTATCAATTACCCTCCTCCTCTATACTTTCCTTCATGCTCAGCTGTGATTTTCCAGATTATGTTTAAATCACTCCCTTGCAGTACCCTACAACTCTCTTGCCCTTATGTCTCTCCTTGTTCACTTAGTTTAGGGGTCAGCAGCCTTTTCCTGCAAAGGCCATATAGTAAGTATTTTAGGCTTTATGGGCCATATGTAGTCTCTGTTGTATAGTCGTTTTTTTGTTTGTTTTTGCAACACTTTAAAAATGTTAAAACAATTTTTAGCTTTGGCCTGTTTAAAAATAAGTCACATGCCAGATTCCGCAGCAATAGTTGGCCTAGCATGACCTCAGTCTGGATCGACCCAACTCTTCAGTTGTGCCTACATGCATCCTGCTGAGTGTTTTTGAAGGAAATTAGTAACTGCAGATTGGTGTCACCATGGAAACATAATCCCCAGCCTCAACTTCATACAATATGTTAGTGGAATATTTTCTTTAGTGTTCTTGCTCATTGGTGTGATGGGTCTATTTCATACCTTTTTCCTCCTCAAACCTCCCACTTGTCTCTACCACATGCTTTCCATATTGGCAGGGCAGTTCTGGCCAGTGCCAGAACGTAAACATACATAAACCCTATTTACCAAAAAGTTACCTTTGTAGCAAAGGTGTAAATATTGGGAAAAGTGAGGAATTGTAATTTTTGCATTCAACGTACCATAGTGTCCATCTTCACCCCATCAGTGGATGAAGCTCTCTTCCTCTAGGCCTTTAGTTCTCACACTTTTGCATGCATCAGTATCACTTGGAAGGCTTGTTAAAACCGATTGCTGAGGCCTACACCCACAGTTTCTGATTCAGAACATCTAGGATGCCAAGAATTTGCTTTTCTAACAAGTTTCCAGGTGTTTCTGATGCGATCGGCCTACAAACCAGAGTTTGAGAACCACTGTTCTAGGACATTCCTTCCACATGTGCTCAGGATTTCACTTACCCCCCACTTTAGTAGGAATGTTGATTTTTAAATTATCCTCCCTTTTCCTTTATCTCATGCTTTTTAGTTACTTTGGTACTTAGAACGAGGTCTGTGGACCAGAAACATCAGTATCACCAATGTCAGCTTGTAAGAAATGCAGTCTCAGACCTACGAGGTCAGAATCTGTATTTTAATAAGACCTGTGTGGGCATTCATGTTTGGGAAGCACTGCCTGTGGATCATTCTTATCAGCAGGCAGGCAAGCAAGCATGTTCTTGATTTCCTCCTCCAAGCCTGCCCATCTTCCAGTGTCCTGTGTTAGTGGATGGCACCACCATTCATGCAGCTGCTGAGGCTAAACAGGAATTCTCCTTGACTTCTCAGATGCCCTACATCCAGTTCATCACCACATTGTGATTTTAGGATTATATATCCTGCAACTTTACCACTTCCACAGCTTTGATCTTGATCCAAGATGCCATCATCTCTCACTTGGACTAGTGCTGGTACCAGCTTCTTACCTGGTTACTTGGCTTCTACCCTGTCCGCCAGCAGCTTGTTTTCTTCCAGTCAACCACAGTGATCCTTTAAAAACAGATCTTATATTCCCTTTCAAAATCCTACCATGGTTCCCCATATTTAAAATCAAAACCAAAGCCGAAGTCCTTTTTGTGGTCTGCGAGGCTGCATGTGAACTGCCTTGGCCACCTCTCTCTCTCTTTCCCCCAGCCCACTTCACTCTAGCGAGATCGCTCACCTCCTTTTTCTTTTGCAGGCCTGATTCACTCCTGTTTTTTTGTGCTTTTTCTTTTTTTCTCTTGCATTTTGCTTGCTTGTTTAGTACAATGCTCTTCACCCAAATGACGTTCTCTCTCACTTCCTTTAGGTCTTCCCTGATTTAGCTCATCTTATATAAGCAACCCTCATTACTCTATTCCCTTATCTTGCTTTATTTCTCCTTCCTGAACTTACTGTTACTTTCTTGCCTGTCTTCCACACTAGGATATAATAAGCTGTAAACCTGTCTTCTCCATTTTAGTCATGGTGCTGCTGTCTCCTTGTTGCTCAAACCAGACACCTGGAATGTAGCCTTGATATTTTTTTTTCTTTCTTCCTTTCCACTGCCATTCACTCAGTTCTCTATATCTGAAACATTTCATTTCTTATTCTCCACCGCCACTGTCTTATCTGTGCTTTCGTCATCTCTTACTTGAGTCACCGCTCATCGATCTACTTGTTCTGCATAGGAGCCAGAGAGAAAGTCTTTAAATTAAAAAAAAAAAAAAATCATCAAATTATGTTACTCCTTGCTTAAAATCCTGCAATGTGTTTCTTTATTCCTTGCCTTACAAGGCCCTCTTTACCAATTCAGCAGCCCTGTCTGCCATTTATCCCTTGTTCAAGAAGGGATATCTCTTGTTCACGTTTTTTCATTTGTGCTTTCTGTCCCCCTGCATGGAATCCCTCTCTTCTTACTTTTTTGGTTTTTGTTTTTTTAAAAGATTTTATTTAGTTATTTGACAGAGACACAGCGAGAGAGGGAACACAAGCAGGAGTGGGAGAGGGAGAAGCAGGCTTCCTACTGAGCAGGGAGCCTGATGCAGCTCTGTCCCAGGACCCTGAGATCATAACGACTGAGCCACCCAGGCACCCCTCTTCTTTTTTCAATAGCTCATTCCTTCTCATTCCTAAGGACTCAGCTGAAATGTGACCGACCCAGAGAGATATGCCCTTACCACCATATTGAAATAGTTTTTTCCAACGTCCATTATTTTGTCACATGACTCCATTTGCTTTCTTTGTGTCATTTCACGTTTGCTTGAAAGACACTTTTCAGAAAATGAAATGTAAGTCAGACTGGGAAGAGATATTTAGAATACGTATATTTGACAGTGGGCTCATATCCAGAATAAATAGCTTGTAAATCCGTAATACAAAGAAAACTCAATCAGGCAAAAGATGGGAACAATACCTCACTAAAGAAGATAGATGAATGAATGGCCAATAAATACATGCAAATGTGCTCACATCATTAACCGTGTGAGGAGTTAAAACCACAATGAAACACCATTTCACACTGACCAAAATGGCAAATTGACCAGTGTGTATCTACTGGAGCTCTTACTCTACCAGTGGGGATGCAAAACTGTACATCTATTTTGGAAAACGGGGGGCAGGCTTCTGTGACGTTAAACATGCACTTACCATAGGACCTACACGACCAGGAGGAAGCAGTTACACCCACACACATTTTTCAAAACTCATGGAATTATACACTTAAAATCTGCATTTTATTGAGTCCAAACTTTCCTGATATAAAAGCAAAATGAAAAAAACGGCCTCTCTGGGTGAGCGAACGCCCACAGGTTGGCAAACCAGGCAGCCAGAGGACGCGAAAGCTCGGAAAAATGCGGTCAGGGAGGCGGGGACCTGCGGCAGTCCAGCTGCTGTGGCATGCCCCGGCAGGCTGCTAGTTGCAGTTTCGATTTCCTGTCTGCTCTTGAGGTTCCCGGGCGGCTCCGCCCCTCAGCACTGGATCTGGGTCCTCTTGTCAGAAGATCCGTGGAAGCCCGCCGCCGCCAGGCTTTCAAGGGAGTGGGACGCGGGCGAGGCGGGGACCTCACCCGGAGCCAAGCCGCCAGCATGTCGGCCGAGGATCGGCGGAATCTGCACGCTTTCCGGGACTATGTCACGAAGACTCTGGACCCTACCTACATCCTGAGCTACATGGCCCCCTGGTTTAAGGACGGTGAGTGGTCCCCAGTGACGCCTGCCCCTTGGAGCAAGGAAACAACTCGGGACTTGCTTTTCCCTGCCTTTTAATCCAGCGCTAAGTAGCCCGCTAGGAACGCGGGTGTTGAGGCAAGATCCTCACAGCATTTTAAGACTGGAGATTGCCAGGAGATTGCCAGGAGAATTTGAGGAGACTTTGGAGGTCCAGATGGAGAAACAGTCCCAGAGAAGTGAAATGACTTGTGTAGGATTGCACATCTATTTAAGTTCAAAGCTGGGGAAACAAACCATTGTCCATTTCATTTATTTTCTCTAATGGTTATGTGTCCGGTGTCTTCGGCTTTGTACTGACAGAGATTCAGGAGTAAGATATAGGCCTTTTTTTTTTTTTTTTGGCTCTTCTTTCTTTCTTTCTTTTAAGATTTTATTTATTTATTTGACAGAGAGAGACACAGCAAGAGAGGGAACACAAGCAGAGGGAGTAGGAGAGGGAGAAGCAGGCTTCCCGCTGAGCAGGGAACCCGATGCGGGGCTCAATCCCAGGACCCTGGGATCTTGACCTGAGCTGAAGGCAGACACTTAACCATCTGAGCCACCCAGGCGCCCCTTGGCTCTTCTTTAAAATACTTTGCAGTGGGCAAAGATTTTGGGGGCAGGATACTGGTGAGGACAGATGTACATAAATGATTACAAAATACTGTCAGAGCTACAAGGTAATTGACAGTTAACTCTTGCCAGGTCTTATTTGCACTTAAGAATAACAAGCTTGAGAGGGCAAGACTGTCTGGACTGAATGGCTGCAAGGCTTCACTTCCGGTGTTTCTGTCTAGCTTGTGAGACACCTGATGGATGAATGCCACTTTGTAAATTTGAATCCAGGTGCACTATGCTGGAGATGCCCAGAAGCTTTGAGGAAAGAGGAAAAGGGAGGTGGTGCCTCGAAGGAGTTGAAATGAGAGAGGGCATCTGGCAACTCCTTTTCAGGTCCAAGTGCCTAAATATCTTTCCTGATGTGAAGCAGTTTTGGGAAATTGTGTGAAAGCAGACAGGTAATTTGAGTGCTCATTGCTCTGCAAAAACCACAGGTTGTGGAGTGAGGAGTGAAAGAATACCCCAACAAAAGTGGGCTTCTGCTTTCTATCTGTGCTCAGAGAGAGGTAACAAAGTAACATCCTAATGACCACAGAGTAGCTTGGGCCCCAGAAGAGTGTAAGCCCCTTTGGGACATCTTTTAGAAATCTTGTCATAAATGAAACACTAAAATCTGGTGTGAATCCCATTCTTTCTTGCACTCATGTATTGATTCAAGCAACTCATATGTGTTAGGCATTGTGTTAGCATTGGACAGAATTGACACATATAACTACACATATAATCTAATAAGAAGTGTCCTATTAGGAACTGAGAAATCCATGGTGAGTGTGATAGAAATGGCCCGTATTAGAGGTCAGAGTGCATATGTGAAGGCAGGTTACTAAATAAACCATAGATGACAAAACGGAAGTGCTCTGCCAGAAAACTATAGTGTGCTATGGGAGCGCAAATGTGGCATACTTTTTAATATATATATTAGTTTTAATTTGTAGTTATAATGCAATCACAATAAAAATACCAAAAGATAAATAGAGACAGCAAGCTGAAGAACACTATATGTAATACTGTCTTATTTTTGAATGTTAAAGACACCATAGAGGTTTTATTTCTAGCTCCTTCTCAGAGGAAGCTGTTGTCATTTAGTTGGCTTAAATCTTTCCTGTTCATTTCTTTATACTTTATCATGTGCACATGTATCCATAAACTTTTTTCTTCCCATCTTTTTCTGTTTTCTGTTAGATTGATAAAGTTTCTCCATCGCCCAATTTTTTCTTGGATGCTTTGGAATCTCTGGATTCTATTAGTTAACCTTAATTGTGGCAAGTATATTCTGTCAGTCAGGATTCAGTCAGGGAGCTGAGACATGAGTGTTATGGCTGGATATAAACATTTTGACTCATTTTTTTGCCCTTATAAGTGGGAGCTTCTCCACACTCTCCTTATGCCCATACATTCCCCCATGCACACACAAGTATACCAATATGTTTAAATCACACCAGCAATATCCAATATGTCTTTTACCATAATCCTGCTTTCCACATTTTGGATATTGTGCACTAGTTGAATCTTGGGAAAGGAGAATCGAAGTCATGTTTCTTCTGGAGAGCTTGCATGGTGACTAGGGTACTGCAGGGCTTTGCTTATTCATATATTATCTAGGATGTTTGAAGGTAGACCAGATTGTGGGCTGCAAATTTTTGGTAGTATCCCTTTGGAGTCAAAAGCTAACCCTTATCCTGGAGGGGCCCTGGGTAGTATTCTGGAAGGGAGCAGAATTCTGAGTATTTATCCATTCCTTCAGTAACATTCTCTGGACACATGCATAAGCCAGGCACTTTGTTGATGATTAGAATGCAAAGATGAAGACAAAAATGAATACAACATGTCCATGATCACAGTCAATGGGAAAAGGTAGACTCTCACACAGTTACTATATACTATGCAGTGTCAGTGCTCTAGTCAGAGGCATGTAAAAAGACCAAGAAAGCACAGAAAAGAGATCAAGAAATTCCATCTTGGGAAGCTGAGGACGGCATCACAGAGTGGCCAGCATGGCAAAGGTAATACTGACAGCCAAAAATAGAATTTTCCCTGCACTGGACTCCCAGTGCTTTTGAGGAAAGTAGCACTACTTAGAAGCAGTTATTGGGGCCAGGTAGCAGCAGGATGGGCCTGACCATGTGCAGAGTAAAGCTAAACTGCCCCTGATACAGCAAGACAGTTTAACTGGGAAGGGCTCAGCTGTGCATGGGATATATCTGGACCTCCATGTGGAGTGTCATTAATGGCTGGTAGCATGTCTAAGGAAAGAACAAACAGCAGGGAGGCCTGGGAGTAACAACCCAGCTCTAAGGATGGGGTTTAGGAACAGGATTAACTCTCTTAAAGGAATAGAGTTAAATTGTGTGCCCAGAAAAGTTGGGATAGGTGATAAGATAGGTTGCTATTATGGGTTGAATTGTGTCCTCCCCCAAAAAGATATGTTGAAGTCCTAAGCCCCAGGACCTCAGAATGTGACCTTATTTGGAAATAGGATCTTTATAGAGGTAATTTGTTAAGATGAGATCATACTGGAGTAGGGTGGGATCCTAATCAATGTGATTGGTGTCTTTATAAGAAGTAGTCATGAGAAGACACAGAGAGACAAAGGGAATGTCATGTGAAGACAAAGGCAGAGATCATAGTGATGCCGCCACAAGACAGACAGACAGAGGAGAAAATAATGTGAAGAAAGAGGCAAAGATTTGTTGTGGCCACAAATCAAGGCCAACGGCCACTAGGAGCTATAAGGGTTGTATTGTCCCTTAGAGCCTTCAAAGGAAGTGTAGCCCTGCCAACATCTTGATTTCAGACTTCTGGTCTCTAGAACTGTGAGAGAATAAGTTTCTATTGTTTTAAGGCCACCAGTTAGTGCTAATTTGTTACTGCAGCCACAGAAAACTAATATAGATAGCTCAAATAAAAGGAAAAAAACCCAGAAGTGTTGGCAAGGATGTGTGGAAATCAAAATCCTCATTAATTGCTGGTGGGAATGTAAAATGGTGCAGCTCCTTTGGACAGCAGTTTGATAATTCCTTACAGTGTTAAATGGAGTTACCATATGACCCAGCAATCTCACAGTTAGGCATAAGTTCAAGAGAAGTGAATACATATGTCCACATAAACACTTGTACATAACTGTTCATAGCATTGCTATTCATAATAGCCCAAATGTGGAAACAACCTAAATGCTCATTAACTAATGACTAGATAGATAACATGTAGTGTACCCATACAATGGAGTATTACTCAGCAATAAAAAAGGAATGAATGCTCTAAGCTACAACATGGATGAACCTTGCAAACATTATGCTAAGTGAAAGAACCCAGTTACAAAGACCACATATTGTATGATTTCATTCAGATGAAATGTCCAAAGTAGGCAAATCTGTAGAGACCCAAGTGGATTAATGGTTGCCTGGGTTTAAGGGGAAGGGAGACAGGAGTGACTGCTAAGGGCTACAAGACTTCTTTTTACAGTAATGACAGTGTACTAAAATTAGATAGTGGTGATAGATCCACAACTCTAGAAACCATTGGGTTTTACACATTAAAATGATTAATTTTATTGTTCCCAAGACAGAGACCTTGGCAGAGAAGGAAGCTATCCCTTCCTTTCTTCATTCATTCAGTATACCTTTGTCGAGTGTCTATTTTGTGCTAGAAGGTCCTCTTCTAATCTCTGAGGATACAACGGTTAACCAGACAACTGGCTTATTCCTTGGAATTTACATTCCACTGACAATAAGGGGGGAAAAGGGAACACTATCAAATGTCAGGTCATGTGTAGGCAACCATTTGATCATCACCGCCCCAGACATGGAGATAGTGTACAAAGTCGTGTGACCACCAACAGTTTGGTGGATAGCATTCTGCTCCCTGGCCTCATGTTCTGTTTAACTCCTCTTGCTTTTTCTTTTCTCCCATATTTCGTACTGTCTAAGCAAAAACCTGGAAAGAGGACCACGAAAGCATCTTTTTTATTTCTAACTCTGCTTTCTGAGTCTGGTGTAATTAAGGATGCCATGGAGTAGTCCTATCCTCACACTTGTGTAGTCCTGCAATTAATTCAGACTTTTGAAGAAGGGAGTATCCAGATGTTGGAGGAAGCCTTTGTTCCTCCACCTAATTCAGTGTTACGGTGGTTTCTCCTTTGTTATGGGGATACTTTTTCACACATCATTAAGAGACTCCCTTTTTAAAGGATTGCTGTGGAGTATGTTCCCAGACTCCACACCAAACTAGGAGAAGTTTCTAGAGAGGATGGGAGGTGGGAGGGAAGGTCGGTTGATGAAGAATGGGCATCATCTGCCTGAATAAAGAATTTGCTGCTTTCTTGCAGTTCCTTCCATTGCTGGGATTTGTTACAGTCGCCATCCCCGTTTGAGAAAATCTGACAACCCTTTTCAGGTTTTTCTTCCAGTGATTAGTGGTTGTGCAGTTTGATGAGCCACTCTTGCTTCTGTTTGTAGATGAGGTACAGCATATACAGGCTGAGAAAAACAACAAGGGCACAATGGAGGCTGCCTCACTTTTTCTTAAGTTCCTATTGGAGCTCCAGGAAGAAGGCTGGTTCCGTGGCTTTTTGGATGCCCTTGTTCATGCAGGTTAGTTCATTCTTCTTACTCATGAATCAGAGGATGTTATTTGACTGTTTCAGAATGCTGTAAAAGTGAAATGCTATTAATTTTGAGCTATCCTCATGTGTCTCACGTCTCTTAATTGGATGCAACGTAAAGATTATTTTCAGTCACATAATATAATTGCCTACCTGAAATAGCCAAAGGAATCTGCAGAGAGATTATTGGGAGAGTTTAACAAGTTCATTGGATATAAGATTAGTATACAAAAATTAGTTGCATTTCTGCACCATACCCAAAAATAAACTCAGAATGGATTAAAAAACTTTAAGACCAGAAGCCATAAAGTTCCTAGAAGAAAACATAGGCAGTAATATCTTTGACATCAGTCATAGAAACATTTTTCTAGATTTATCTCCTTTGGCAAGGGAAATAAAACCAAAATTAAACTATTGGAACTACACCAAATAAAAAGCTTTTGCCCAGCAAAGGAAACCATCAATAAAACAAAACAACCTGCTGAATGGGAGAAAATATTTGCAAATGACATATCCAGTAAGGAGTTAATATCCAAAATACATAAAGAACTTCTGCAATTCAACACCAAAAAATCAAACGATCTGATTAAAAAATGGGCAGAAGACATGAACAGACATTTCTCCTAAGAAGACATACAGATGGCCAACAGACACACAGAAAGATGCTCAACGTCACTAATCATCAGGAAAATGCAAATCAGAACCACAATGAGATATTGAGATATCACAGTGATGTAACACCTCACACCTGTCAGAATGGCCAACACGAACTAATACGTGTTGGTGAGGATGTGGAGAAAAAAGAAGGCTCGTGCACTGTTGGTGGAAATGCAAACTGCTACAGCCACTGTGGAAAACAGTATGGAGGTTCCCCAAATATTAAAAATAGAATTACCATATGATCCACTATTGGGTATTTACCCAAAGAGAACAAAAATACTAATTCAACGGGATGCAGGCGCCTCTATGTTTATTGCAATATTATTTACAATAGCCAAGATATGGAAGCAACCCCAATGTCCATCCATAAATGAATGAATAAAGATGTGGTATACATACAATGGAATACTACTCAGCTGTAAAAAAAGAATGAAATCTTGCCATTTGCAACAACATGGATGGCTCTCGGGGGTATAATGCTAAGTGAAATAAATCAGTCAGAGAAAGATAAAGACCATATGATTTCATTTATATGGGGAATTTAAGAAACAAAGTGAACAAAATAAAAAAGAGACAAATTAAAAATAGACTCCTAGATATAGGGAACAAATTGGTGGTTGCCAGAAGGGAAGTAGGTAGGGAGGTGGGTGAAACAGATAAAGGGAATCAAGAGTACGTTTATCAAAATAAGCACTGAGCAATGTATGGAATTGTTCAAGCATTATGTTGCACGCCCGAAACTAATACAACACTGTATGTTAATTATACTGTAATAAAAATAAAGCACAAAAACTAGCTGCATTTCTAGCCACTGGAAGTAAATAGAAAATGTAGTCCAAAAGGAATACCACTTAGAATAGTTACAAAAGTTGTAATATATTTAGGAAAAATGTAGCAAACAATGTGTAAAGTCCAAATGGAGAAAATGATAAAATGTTATTGAAAGATATTAAAGAAGTCCTATCTAAGTGGAGATAGATACCCACACACAGGGAAAGACTTGATACCATAAAAATCTGCTCTTTCAACACTGATTTCTGTATTCAATACAATTTTAATAATCCTACATGCTTTTTCATGTGCTTGACAAATTTCTAAATGATTTTAAAATGTAAGTGGAAGAATTATGATCCAAGAATAGTCAGGACATTCCTAAAGAAAAAGACTTAAGTAGGCTGGGGTTTCCCCCTCTAAATAGCAAAATCTATGCTAGGCATTGAGACAGCATAACGTTGGTTCTGGCATCGACCAACTGACCAATGAAATAGAATGGAGAGCCTTCAATTAAACTCATATATTTATGAAAACCTGATATATTTGAGATCACTGGGAAAGGAGGATCATTAGGAACAGAGGGGCTTTTAATAAATTGCAGTGGGCCATTATAAACAGGATAATGTTAAAACCAAACAAACCCTGAATTACATATCCATGTAAAATAAATTTGTTTTCCTTAGCTCATTCCATTCACACATACGCACAAAATCAATTCATAAGAATTAAAGACTTAATTCTAAAAGGCAAAATTTTAACAATTTTAGAAAAGAATATAGAATAATATCTTATGACCTTGGCGTATGGCAGGATTTCTGAAACAAACATTAAAGCATTATCCATAAAAGACAAATTGATATATTTGATGACATTAAAATTAAAAACATCTGTTTGTCAAACACAAAGTGAAAAAAACAAGGCACAAACTGGGAGAGGATCTTTGCAAAATATATAATCACCAAAAAGATTAATATCTATAATATATTAAAAAGGCTTTAAAATCATTTCAAAAAAGAAAACATCTACAGGGCAAAAGTGTGAACTGACGTTATAAAGAATAGGGAGTAAGAAAGGTTGATAAACATATGAAAAGATTCTCAGCCCAAATGGCAATTAGGGGATTGTGAATTAGGAACTCAATGAGATAGCATTTTATTAACTACTAGATAGCAAAACTTAGGAAGTCCAACAATGCTAAGGCTTGAAGAGCATATTTAATCATGGGAAATCTTAAGTGTCACTATACAGAGTGTAAATCAATACAATTATTTTGAAAAACAATTTGGCATCATCTAATATAGTTTAACTCTCTTGTATCCCCCTGTCCAACAGTTTCACTTTTTTTTATTATGTTAATCACCATACATTACATCATTTGTTTTTGATGTAGTGTTCCATGATTCATTGTTTGTGCATAATACCCAGTGCTCCACGCAGAACGTGCCCTCTTTAATACCCATCACCAGGCTAATCCATCCCTCCACCCCCTCCCCTCTAGAACCCTCAGTTTGTTTCTCAGAGTCCATAGTCTCTCATGGTTCGTCTCCCCCTCCGATTCCCCCCCTTCGTTCTTCCCCTCCTGCTACCTTCTTTTTTTTTTTTTTTTAACATATAATGTATTATTTGTTTCAGAGCCACAGGTCTGTGATTCATCAGTCTTGCACAATTCACAGCGCTCACCATAGCACATACCCTCCCCAATGTCTATCACCCAGCCACCCCATTGTTCCCACCCCCCACCACTCCAGCAACCCTCAGTTTCCAACAGTTTCACTCTTAAGCATGTGCCCTAGAAAAACTCTTGCACATATATTGCAGCATACACATACAAGAATGTTCATAGAATAATTGTTATAACAAAAGCAAGCAACCAACCAACCAAACAAAACTGGAAGCGACCCAGTGTCCTTCAAAAAGAAAATGGATGATAAAATTCTATAATAGTCACATGATGGGTCCACTGTACTGCAGTGAAAATGTATGAACGCAGCTACGGATGGCAACACAGCTGAAGCTTTGAAATGTAATATTAAACTTTCTAAAAAGCAGAGAAAATTACATTCAGTAGGATGTAATTATGAAGTTCCAAACAAGCCAAACTAAACATGTATTTTTTTTAAAGCCTTTATTATTTTTAAAAAATGTTTAGATGCTTTGTTTATTTGAAAGAGGGAGAGTGCACATACGCACATAAACAGGGGGAAGGGGCAGGGGCAGAGGGAGAAGCAGGCTCCCCACTGAGCAGGCAGCCCCATGTGGGACTCAATCCCAGGACCCCGGGGATCATGACCTGAGCCGAAGGCAGATGCTTTCTAAGATGGTAGTCTCTTTAAAGGGAGGTGAAAAGGTGGGGGAAAAGAAGGCACACTCCCACAAAAGTATTGGGAAATTGTAGTTAAGTTGGGTAGTGGCTTCCCATGTGTTCATTTTTTTTTTTTAAGATTTTATTTATTTATTTGACAGAGAGATAGCAAGAGCAGGAACACAAGCAGGGGGAGTGGGAAAGGGAGAAGCAGGCTCCCCGCCGAGCAGGGAGCCCGATGTGGGGCTCCATCCCAGGACCCTGGGACCATGACCTGAGCCGAAGGCAGATGCTTAACGACTGAGCTACCCAGGCGCTCCCATGTGTTCATTTTGTTGTTAGGCTCTTTATAGCCAAATGAAAAGAATGTGGGCTGTATAGTCAGACAAATCTGGTGATTTTATTTGAGAAACTTAGATTGAAGCATTCTTGAATTATTATAGTTGGAAATAATTTTTTTTTCTCCTCATATTTCCCATTATACTTAATATTCTTTTCTGGGAGTAATGTAGAAGTTTAATTTCCTAAGGGGCAGAAATTAAGACTTACATTTCCTTTTACCCACTTTGCTACTTTGCACTGGGAAGATAATAATTTCATGATGATTTGACTCACTGGAAGATAAGTCAGAGGTTCTAGGTGAAGTCCATGGGGCACTTGGAAGGAAAGTTTTATACTAAGACCAAATGTAAGACTTCACATTATCCTAAGCGCTTTTTCCTAAGAGATGATAAACTTTGTTAGAGGACCTAAAATGTTGGGTGCCTATAATAAATATTGAGTTTTCTTTTTGAAAGATCATTAATTACTGAGGTGATTTACAGATATCTTCTGAGTTCTCTTACTATACATTCAAACATGATTCCTATGATAACAATCTTAAAATATCTTTTAGTTGGTTTCATAAAAGCCCCTGTTTTCTTCTTTCTTTCCAGGTTATTCTGGACTTTATGAAGCCATTGAAACTTGGGATTTCCAAAAAATTGAAAGTCTAGAGGAATATAGAATGCTTTTAAAGCGTTTACAACCAGAATTTAAAACCACAGTTAATCCAAAAGATATCCTTCCTAAAATATCTGAATGTTTAATTAGTCAGGAATGTGAAGAAATTATACAGGTAATTTAATTAATTTATTTAGCAAAATTAAGTATAATTAATTTAATATAAAATGCTAAATTGGGGGGAGGTAATTTGAACATGGGAAATGTCTTCTATTTTCTCCACTGATTTAGACCTGAGAAAGATCATTGAAATCCACAAAAGTCCTTAAATCTAAGGCATAATTACCTAGAATAGTATTTTTAGTTGTGAATTGAGTAATTTTTAATGTCACGAGTTTTTTTCAGGTTTGCCCTATTTTCAGTTAAAATTATTGTTACTTTTGTGAATAATGTTTTATGCAAATTTTAAGTTGAACACTTTAGCAAATAAAAAGAACAAAAGCTATAGACTCTCATGGTTGAGCATTCAGGCTCTGCACACAAATTTTGTTAGAATCCTAGTTCAGCCATTTACTAGTAGTATGATCTTAGGCAGGTTAGTTTCTCTAAACCTGTTTCTTCATGTAAAATGGAAATAATAATAGTACCTTATTAACATGATATTTTTAGAGGGATTAAATGAGATAATATATGTAAAGTGGTTACATATGCCTGGCACATAATAACAAGTGCTCAATAATTTTTAGTTATGATGAATAATAAAAACCACATAGGTCCCATTATCCTGAATATTTTTGTTAATATTTTGTTAATATTTTGTTACATTCTTCCAAATATCTCTCCATGCCAATATATCCATATTATGAATGGTTGTCAAATGGATTGTTTCCTAATATTGCTGAGGATGATACATATAAGGTCTCAGAGGATGTGAAAACACCTGGCTTGACATAGCAATGCCATGTGTAAAGACAAAGGAAAGGGTGTCTTAAAAGACAGTGTTGGATGGGGCAAAAATGGTCATGAATAAGACCCACTGAACCATAGTATACAATTATTTTAAATCAGTGCTTGAATTGATATTTCTTCAATAAAAACTCATAAAAGGAAGACTTTTAAAATGATTGATTGATCAACTGCAGTTGTCTTGCTTAGGTTTGTTCCAACAAGGGGCTGATGGCAGGTGCGGAGAAAATGGTTGAATGCCTTCTCAGATCAGACAAGGAAAACTGGCCCAAAACTTTGAAACTTGCTTTGGAGATAGACGAGAACAAGTTCAGTCAACTGTGGATTGTGGACAAAGGTAGGATATTCCAGGGAAGAGCTCTGAAATGTTGGGAGGGTCTGAAAACATGTTCTACCTTTCTCATAGTTCTACTTAGGGCCTCTTTCATTCCTACCTGTCCTTCACTCACTGTTAGAGGCATTTTGCCCTTCAGAGACCCATGGCCCCATCTCTAGTGAGAGGGCAGCATGAAACTGAGTTCTGGGAAGCAAGTGGCTACTTGCCTACAGAAGTAATTCGGTTGTGTGTAACCCCTAAAATGGACCAGGGCAAACTGTTCTCATCCAGAATTAGCCCATCTGGTCCAAAGGATTTGGGGAAGGCAGAATCTAAGCTCACTCTCTCAGTTTGGATTATCAGAGAAATAGCTTTAAAATTCTAGAGTGAAATGTTCAAACTCCAGGACTTGCCCCCTTTTCAGAGTAGAATCATAATAGACATAGCCTACTTCTCTTGCCTGAACCATCGGGAACTAAGCCAGAGCAGGATTGAAAAAGGAATATCTGTGCCATCATGTGATTTCCTGAAGCTAACCTCTGCTCAGAGCATTGTTTTAAAGTCTGAGTTTGGTAAACTAACTGCATGGTCTTCACTTGTCCTAGGCTTCTGTACATCACAAGTTGTTCTAGAAAATGTCTATATAAATACCCATCTGATTTCTTGGGTTAAGTCAGGAATGGAAGCCATAAATGTCTGCTAAGTGGTGCTTCTCTTTACTGAGTGTGAGAATCACCTGGGGATTTTGTTAAAATGCAGATTCTGACTTAGTAGGGACACAGCCTGCATTTCTAACAAGCTCTGGAAGTTGCTGGCCCATGTGCCACACTTGAATAATAAAGTCCTAAATGACATTGAAGTTCAGACTCCAAATTGAGACATCACACTCAAAAAGATTCTTTTCATTGTTTTAGAAGGTGAAGGGAGTGGTTGTGAGAAATCTTAATGGAGTTGAAAATTTTAGGATTATGACCTCTTTGTAGGACTTGTGCTGTTGAGACAATCATCAGATTAGATCAAGATTCTAAGATGTTTTTTGGTCTCATACAGATGCAAAAAATGCTGAACCGAAAGTTCTTGAGGATGATGAAATAGAAACTTCTGACATACAGATTTTCTATAAGGAAGAACCAGAATGCCAGAATCTTAGTCAGAACTCATCTCCACCTTCAGGTACCCAGCACTGTTCTTTTCCATATGGTATTCTTTGGGTATTTTGTGTGGGGACATGGCCTGCACTGCCTGAAGTCATAGTGTTATGAAAGGGTTTTAAAGGAAATGTAAGAAAAGATCATTTATCTTTTTTAAAGAAAAGATAATTTATATTAAAATAGATACTTTTTCTATAATTAAAACATATTATTCTCTCTCTTCCAAAGCTATCATCATCAGCCTCTTTTATTTTCTTTTGTCACTAAGAACATATGTGCATGTCTACATTGAAAATGCACATAGGGTCCTCCCAGAAACTTAGTGTCTATGAAATCTAAAATCAGCTCTGCTCTCTAAAGAAACACTAATATTTATGAGTCACTTGCTCACTTTCCTTTTACTATCCCAGGGCTGCAGTGTAAGTTGATGAAGTTTGTGCACTGCACAAATGTACCCAGCTGAGTTTGAGTGAGGACTGAGATCCTGCCTGTGCTATTTGCCAAACAGTGGGCTGTATCCTTCCAGAGGGTCTCCTTTTTCTAATTTCACACAAAGGCACTGTATAACTTAGTTATAAGGCCCACCTTGTCTTTCTAGAAGCATGTTTTCATGAGGGGACCAGAAAGTTTCATAATGAGCCACAGTAAAAAGTTTTTTACAAAAGAACATCAGAGAAGACATTCTGATTAATACTGGGTAGTGTGCGAAGAAAGGTGTGATTTGGGGATAACACCACAAGAAGATTTACAGATTACTTCTGCAACCAAATGATACAAGTTTTCTTGTCATTTCAGAGTAAAATTACTGAATGTAAATTGCTTTAAACTTTTCTGACATGTAAGGGACTTTAGTGAGCTCACTTAACCTTTTAGAGATGTTCCTGTTCTTTAAAATAGTTTGGAGTCAATAGATGACTTCTAAGGTCTTTTCTAGCAGTAACATTCTATATGCTTATCTGTTGTGGAAAAACAGCCTCTGGTTATTTTTTGAAACTTCTGGTCCTATTGAGAGAAGATACCATGGGAGAGCCTGCAGAATTATAAAGCATGGTTGCTCTTCAATAAGAGATTGTTCTGGGAATTCATTGTTTATAGTTTGTTGCTTCTCAGAGATCTAGGAGGGATTTGTTGTTTTGTTCCATATAGCATTTCCTTTTAACCAGTGGCCATCTGTCTTGCCCTGAATTAGGCCATTCTTGCTTTAGTTTCTCCTTACTAAACTTCCAAGGTTATTTAAGAAAAATCTTTGTGGCTTTTTCAAAGGATTCTTGCCATTGGGACTTTGTCACTGAGGGAGAATTTTGTTCTTCACATCAGTGCTGAGGCTGGAATGGTTAACAAGAGTCAAGGATTCTAAATTTTCTTAAATGAGGCCCTTTTTTTTGTTAAAGTCAGAATTCCTGTCTACTTGATGACAGATAGCTCTTTTCTTGATTCCTCAGAGCTGTAACTACTTGGTAATTTTGTTCCTTTTGTATTACATAAGCCTCTCCTACTTGCACCCCACTGAAGCCAAGAAATTACCAACTAGAGCTGGCTTTCCCTGCTAAGGAAGGAAAAAACACAATAATATGTGCTCCTACTGGTAAGTTGATTGTCACTACTTACATGGTTTGTTTCTGTGTTTGTTTCCTTTTTTTTCTTGTATTGAACACTGGGACAAAATGGGCAAGTTTCCATTTTTTCCTTGTTCCATATATCTTTTGAGAAAACTTTCCCATTAATATAGTCTCCAGGTATTTTAAGGAACCTGAGGAGGGAAAGAAAAATGCCCTGTTTTATCTTGCTTTATGCCTTGACTATTTTATTTGCATGTTACCTAGGAAGTAACTTGATATTTTTCTGTCCTGGTATAAATTCTGTCGACATTCCTAGTTTATTAGTTGGTGCAGTGGTTTTAGGGGAGCCAAAAATAATTACCTTTCTATAGAAATATTTTAGTGTAATATCAATTACATGTTTTCTTTTTCTTTGTATGTTAAAAGGTTGTGGAAAAACCCTTGTTTCCCTTCTTATATGTGAACATCATCTTAAAAAATTTCCACAAGGACAAAAGGGGAAAGTTGTCTTTTTTGCTAATCAACTCCCAGTGTATGAACAGCAGAAATCCGTGTTCTCCAAATATTTTGAAAAACTTGGGTAGGTATAACAGTTGGTTCCATTTCTTTTTCTCTAGCTTCATGTAACTGGTGTGTATTCAGCTTAGCTTAATTTTGGAAAGCTGGGATTCAAAAATTTATAATAGATATAGCTTTTATATAATCTAGATGTAATTAATTTTTCATGGATGCAAGTCTGTTTTGTTAGGTATGCTTGAAATACTAAACTCCTTTGGTTAGCTCTTGTAGAGTAAGTAAATGACTTGAGATCAATTTTACATTTAAATGACACATTTAACTTTTTAAAGATTTATAACTTCTTTAATATTACTCTTTCCTTTAAGTACTATTTTCTTTCTTAAGACTTGAAGGAATTAACATACTCTACTAGCAGTTATAGCTGGCTTGCAGTTATTGAACATTTACTATGTGTATGGTGCTAAGCACTTGTCTCCCATATATTCCTTTTGGAGTTAGGGAGAACTTAACCAGTTAAGAGTTAAGTTCTCAGTTGCTCTGACCTAGTGTTTCATGTCTTTATGGTTCCTCATTCACATCATGGTTGGTAATAGGGAATTTCTGTCATTTCCCAGGTACAAAGTTGCAGGTGTTTCTGGAGCAACATCTGAGAATATCTTAGTGGAACAGATTGTTGAGAACAATGACATCATCATTTTCACTCCACAGATTCTTGTGAATAACCTTAGAAATGGGACTCTTCCATCACTCTCTGTCTTTACTTTGATGATATTTGATGAATGTCACAACACCGGTAAACATCATCCTTACAATATGATCATGTTTAATTATCTAGATCAGAAACTTGGAGGATCTTCAGACCTACTGCCTCAGGTATCTCCAGAGTCAGGTGGATTCCTCAGAAGAGCTATAACCTTCTTAAATCCTATTTACTTACTCTACTGACCACACTGAGGATGTTCTTTTCCGGTCCTAAGTCCATATTGTATAGTTCATTGATTAATTTTTATTTGTTCATTCACTTATTCACTTAACAAATATGCATTAGGTGCCCCCCTGTGTTATCCACTGTGCTAGGCACTGGGGATACAAATATAAAAAGACATAAACCTCAAACAGTTGAAGTTTCATGGGGAGCCAGACATGTAAGAATTATGTCATAATATATGGTGATGGCACACTATGGAGATGGGTACAAGGCGTAGTCAGAACAGAAGTGAAAACTCGTAAGTGTGCTGTGAAAGTAAGCCAAAACCCAACAGAAGTTAGGTAAAAACTAACAAGAATGTACAAGGTAGATAACTGGGTGGTTTTCAGGTAACGCTACTGTGTGTCCAGAGGCACAGAGGTATGAGAGAACATGGTGTGCCCGAGAGTCCTGAAGGTCTTCCATAGCATTTGAGTGTAGAATGTGAAGTGGTAAATAGCAGTAGGTGAGGCAGAGTGGGATAGAGGGAATGGTCGATAGAACAAGATGCTAGGAGAGACCAGAGGGTATGGGATAAGTAGGCAGGAATTTGCATTAGTAGAGGAGAGCAGATGGGACACCATTTTTGGTGTCATCAGAGGTGAGGGTGTGAGAAGAGTCAAGACAGAGAGTAGTTCTTAGATGGGGACAGGAAAGGTAGGGAATCCCTGGCATTTAATCTCTCTCTTCTCTTACGTGCAGGAGAGGAAGATAGATTATTTGCTGAGAATAATCAAGATAGGAATGGGGGATGGAGCTCAAGATACATGGAGAGAATTTGAAATGAGAGAACTAAGGAATATATAGAAGAATTTCTTGGTTACATTAAGGATCCAGATGAGGTTGGAAACCATGAATTTATGGTATACCAGTATCACAGTACCTAAAGTTCTCTAGCCCTAATAACTACCTGTTTAGGAAGCATAGGTTAGAAGAAATGCAGTATGGTACCCATAGACAAAATTCAGTAGCAGTCACATTTCTTACAGCTTCTTCCTCTAGAAAAAAAATTGGTGGTTGATTAGATTCCTTGCTAATGAGTCAATTATTCAGTTTACTGAATGGCTATTCAAGTGAGACATAAATTATTAGGTGACCATTAAGCTAATTTTTTTTTTTACAAATGTTATCTTACTGAATTCACACACCTACCATTTTAAATAGCTGTTGTTTCCCAACTTTAAAGAGAGCTGAAGATACTTGTCCAAGAATCCACAGCCAGTGTGACATGGTTGCATTTAGAATGGAGTTGTGTCTGATTTGGTCCCTTTCCTTTTAGTATGTTGTTCTGCACATCATGGGGGACACAAGGGTAGAGAAGAAAGAAGTCCTGCCTTGAAAGGGTTTTTGCTCTTGGTTTCTTTGCTAATTCGTGTTCATTTGATAAGTTGTGACTCCTGCATCTATTCATTGCTTTGCCTAATGGGGACCTTTCCATTTGCAATGTCATAGAGAATATCAGGGAAAAAAATTAGTTTTCTTACTCTTTAATTAGTAAAACAAACAAACAAACAAACACCCCTACTTTAGCAGGAAAGGGTTGCATGGGGAATTGTGGAAATGGCATGCTGTTTTCCAGATGTCTGACAGTTTGGAGTGCTCCTCACAGGTCATTGGGCTGACTGCCTCGGTTGGCATTGGGGATGCCAAAAACACAATGGAAGCCATGGAATATATCTGCAAACTGTGTGCTTCTCTTGACACATCAGTGATAGCAACAGTCAAAGACAACTTGGAGGAATTGGAAGAAATTGTTTATAAGCCCCAGAAGTGTAAGTGGAATCCAGTAAACAAGCCCTTTAGAACTTCGTTACCTTCTGCTTTTCCTAGTTCAGAGACATTTGGGTGAAATACTGAATTTTTACCTTTTCTGTTTAGTAGAAAATATTTAACCCCAAACTTGGGAAGTAATTACATTTCATGCCTCTGTCCTCAATCAAACCCTGTCCTCAGGCAATGGGTGAACCTCAAGAGTGTGGACTGTCGAAAGCAAACATTCTTAATCTTCAGTTCAATAAAGTTCTTTTTTTGTTTTTGATAAAGTTCTTATAAGGATACTAACAATGAGAGAGACGTGATGAGAAAATCAAAGCATGTAAATGGCCAAGAGCTGGGCTCAGTCCTTTCCTGAGTTGCATGCCTGAGGAGGATACTGTGTGATCATTCATTATTCGAATAATGTATCTGATGATACAGGTTGAAATGAAATTAATCTGAGTCATATTTTTCCTCAGCAGATCAGAATATGATTTTTTAAAAAGATTGACCAGGAAATGTTTACTAAATTCCAATGCTATACTAACCCAGCAAGAGACAGCAGAAGAGGAGACATATATGCCTTCATCCTTGCTCTGGGGATAGTGTATGACTGTATAATGCATAGCAAACACACATTAAATAGCCAGGGAGAGGCAGTTCAGTTCCTTCCTGGGAGTTGCCTGTAAGGAGTTTAGGGAAGGTACCCAATCTAAACTTTAGTATCAAGTACAAACTTCTTTGGAATCCAGTCCCCTCTGCCCTCTGTACCTCATTGCCCCCTCCTATAAGTCTAATCGTGCTGCATTCCTCTGGGCTCCTCAAGTGCATCTTTGCTTCCTCCATTCCTCTCCCCTTAGTTACCCCCAGCATTTCCTCCTTTGGAAGAATTAGAGATTTTCTTCCTTGTGCCCCGTGACACCTGGCACATACTTACGTTATGGCACTTTACTATGGTTATTTGGCTGATGTACCTTTCTCTCCCCTGAGAACACAGACCTCTCTGGAGCACAGACTGTGTTCTTTTCAACTGTTTATCACCAGAACGTGCCACGTGGTAGACAGTTATTAAGTTTCTGCAGAAACAATGCAATAATGAATTTTAGGAACAGTGTGAGCACTTCTGGGGGTTGGGTGGGAAAGGAGAAAATCAAAGAAGAGAGGGTTAAAAAGTGTTGTACTTGCAGAGATAAGATGGATACCAGTCTTGTCAGAGTAGAGGCTCCATGCTGAGTCACAGGAAAACCAGAATGAGAAGTTGGATTAGAACCAGACCGTGAAACCCAGAGATGTTAGAATCTGTGCATTAAGCACTCGGGAGCTCTTGCAAGGTTTTTGAGCATTTGATACATCATCTAGACTACCAGCCTGTGAGCTTGGGGCCTCAGGTCTTGCAGAAGTAACAGAGGCAGAGAAAGGTGTGCAGATGCCTGCTTTGAACTATGATGTGTTCTTCCTGAAAAATACTCACTTTGTTTTGATGGCTTTAGTTTTCAGGAAAGTGGAATCACGGACTACTGACAGATTTAAATGCATCATATCACAGCTGATGAGGGAGACAGAGAGTCTGGCAAAGAATATCTTTGACGAACTCGGTACCGTAACTCTGGGTGAGATAAATCTCATTTTGTATTCTCTCCATTTAGGAATAACCATATATTGTTCACTAGTGTCTTTTTGCATTCTCTGCAGTTCAGACAGGGTCAAGACCGTATCAAGAGGTTAACCTCCCTGATTATAGGTTATTCAGGAAACCTGTAAGTCCTCCTTTAGTCTCTCTTCCTTTTTTTTTTTTCTTTTTAAATTCAAAGTAAATCTCTGGACATACATACCTGAACAATACCATATTTAAATCAGTTCATGGCTTTCAAATTAGCTTTCTAATTTGAAAAGTTCTAAGTTCTAACTTCCCCGTTTATATGAATGAAACCACCATTTCCCTGATGGCTCAGATTGAAACAGGCAGTGATCTTCGATTCTTTCTTCTTTTGAGACTCTCTCATGAAGTTTCCAAGTTCTGTTCTCTCTTTTGTTCTTTCATTCATTCACCAGATACTCATTGTGCCAGCTAATGGAAAGGACAAGGTTAAAGACATAGTCCCAACCTCAGGGAACTCACAGTCAATAATGAGAATCAGATGTGAGTAACTTCCACACAGCAGGGCAGAGGTACGGCCTGGATGCCTTGAGAGCACGTGGGAACTTTGGCCTGGAATGAGCTGCAGGGAAGCTTCCTGGGGTGGGGTGGTGCCTGAGGCAGTCTTGAAGTCAGCCAAGCTAAGGAGAGACAACCATGGTGAGTTGAAAACGCATCAGGCATTGACGGAAGAAAAGGTATTAGGAATTGCAAGCATTTCGTGGTATTCCCAATGCATGAGTAGTAGAGAGGAGTGACGCTAGAGAGGCAGGGCCCAGACCAGGAAGGGCTTTGTCCTAAAAGCAGGGGGAAGCATCTGAAGATTTTAAACTGATTCGCGATGTGATAAGGATACTAGTGAACAAAGAGGGCCAGAGGCAGTCAAGACAGGCTGATGGAGGGAGGAGGCTCGGGCTGAGCGCTGCAAACAGGAAGTGTTCAGATTTCATGGCTAGCAGGCTTTGGGTGGAAGTGAGGGTGACTTGCACCAGCTTCTGGCTTGCACACTTGTTGATTTACCAGTGGGGAGTGCTGGTTCCTGAACTAGGAGCAGCTTTGGAGAGGTTGAATTTGTGAATTCACCTTTCCTCACGCTTATTTTGCTTTTTCTCTTCTCCTCTTCTTTCACAGCTTGATTTAGGACTTAGGCTGACTGCTGTCTGGCTGGTTTGCCCACCCCCACTCACTTTTCCATTTGGCCCCCTGTTACCTGGTTGGTCTTTCTGAAATACCAGTTTTATCATGTCAGTATCCTGCTTGAATCTGCCTTACAAGCAAAGCTCTCTAAGCCTCTAACCTGCCAGTCTGGGCCCTACCTGCACAATCTGGTTCTACTTTTCTTTCCAGTTTTACCTTCCACTCCTTCCCTACTCGAATCCTTTGATTTAGGGTTCCTTGAACATGTTCATTCACTTGTCAACCACTTGGTGCTCGGCAGTGTGCTAGCTGATGGGGCAATAGCATGGACCCTGAGATACAGCTCCTGCCCTTGCAGCATTTCCAGAACAACAGTAAAGCCAAAGTTAGATAAGGAATAATAAAACAACGGGATAAGGGTACGTGGGTGGTGGTGATCAGGTGTGTTTCAGGCAGAGGGAACACCATGTGCAAAGGCCAGGAAAGCAGAGAGGGTATGAGGACTTCCATTAGTCCTGTCAAATGCAGGAAGCAGAGCAGCTGGAGATGAGAATCAGAAGCTAGATCACAGAGGATCCTGAGAGCTGGGTAGGATTTTGGCTAGAGGAATCCACTGAAGGCGTTTAAGTGGTGGGGTAGCAAAGTATTTCATCTGCAATTTTGGAAACTCTCTCTCTAGTGGCTGAGTGGGCAGTGGATTGGAGGGACCAAGGCAAGAAGTAGGGAGACCAGTTAGGAGGCCGTCATATTTTCCAGGACCATTATAATGTAGTCTGAACTAGGGAGGTAGCAGAAGGGTGGAGAGACATGAATTTCTACCTTCTTATTCCTCCCACTTCTAATTCCCTACCTCCACCTTTTCCCCAGTCTACATCCTGTCAGCTGTTCATTTCCAGATTGCTTAGCTCATTTTTACACCTACTCACATTCAAGAAATACTTGTTAATTCATCTGGTTTACTGCTGATCACCTTGTTTGTAGTTGGAGCTGGGAAAGAAGCATGTCAAAGCTACTTGTCTGAATAGCCTCCTTTGTTCCTCCTGCTAAACACGAATGGGTGAGAGGAGCAATTTAACCCAGAAATATAGCTCTTGCCTGTGAGTTTTACTAAACTGTGCTCTTCCCAGGGAGCCCTGGAGATCTGAGCTGCTTGAGAATAGGCTTATTCTGTCTTCTGCATCCTTTTACTGCCAGCACCCTGCACACAGCCTGGACCACAGCTGATGCTCAATTTTTGGACCGAGCAACAGCTTAGAAGATGCACACAAACAGAAGCATCCATGACGAGCATCTTTTGAGTGCCTGTTTTTTGCTCGGCCCTGCAAATGGTGCTGTGGAGATCAGACAGCTTAAGTTCATAGCAAGGTAGAAGAGAGTGTGTTGAGTTCTCTCTCTCTTGCTTTTAAATATCTTCCTGATGAAGCTCATGAGACCTATTATTTTTATTCACTGCTTTATTGTTAGAGGCAAAGTTAGATATTTTCATGTCCATCATTTTGCCTCTGGGCTGCTTTGGCCGTCAGCTCACAGAGCTGGCAAAGCCTTCAGTATCAGACACGCCTGGATCCGCATTCCTGCACTCCCCCCACATGCTAACTCTGTCACTTTGGGTAAATTACTTTGCTTTTCTGAGCTTTGGTTTCCTCACCTGTAAAATATAACATCCACCTCAGAGGTCTATGAAAATGAAATGAATTTGAGTGTAAGACACTTTGATTCTTGGTGCAAAGTATTCAGTAAGGAATCACGTGCCGACACAGATTCACTACTGTTGCAAACCGACTGTTTTAGGAGGAATACTCTGCTTACAGAGAGTAAGAAAGAAAATTTGAGGGTGAGGCATGCTTAGAACTTTAAATGACTGATCTATAGCACAATGAAAAACTTTTTTTTCCCCCCCCAGAAAGTGTATCTCAAATTCAAAATAGGAATTTTGGAACACAGAAATATGAACAATGGATCGTTTCTGTTCAGAAAGCATGCATGGTGTTTCTGTTGCCCGACAAAGATGAAGAGAGCAGGATTTGTAAAGCCCTGTATTTGTACACTTCCCACTTGCGGGTATGTGGTTTCTTTGCAGCAACATATTTTAGTTGTAGTACCTGTTGGGAGCTTTGCTCTGGGAGCCAAGAGAACATCAACTTTTCACCCTGTTCCAGGAGCTCACTTAGGAACTTTCCGAGGGGTTCCTATGAAGCAAACTTTAAAGTTATCCCATTCAGCATCTTCTCTGTCAGCTTACTGAAACGTAATAGTAGCAGCCACAGGATAGAAACAGATGCTGGTGTTCTATATCATGTGCCTCTAGCATTCCCATGATTGACACAATCAGAAAAATTTGGGGGATGATGAACATGATTGTAGATATGTGATTGGTGACAGTCATCTTGAAAATTCAGTAAGTGACTTCTGTTGCCTTATCTTGAAGCATGTGTTTTCTTACCTTTGGCAAAGCCACACACTCAGAAACCTAGGGTCTTTGGTTGTTTTCTGATTAACCAAGAAGTTAAGAAACAACAACCATCACCTCTGCTTATCATGCTGTTGAAAGTATTTAAAAATGCACTCAGTCAGCATGGATTTATAGAATTTTAATGAACTTAGGGCGCCTGGGTAGCTCAGTTGGTTAAGCGACTACCTTCGGCTAAGGTCATGATCCTGGAGTCCCAGGATGGAGTCCCGGGATCGAGTCCCGCGTTGGGTTCCCTGCTCAGCGGGGAGTCTGCTTCTCCCTCTGACCTTCTTCCCTCTCATGCTCTCCATCTCTCATCCTCTCTTTCTCAAATAAATAAATAAAATCTTTAAAAAAAAGAATTTTAATGAACTTAGTTGCATATTTGGGGTAGGTGGTCAGTGCCATCATTCTGAACAGATGCTGTTGCAATTCACTGATGGCTCTGGATGTATGAGGAGATTAAGTCGAATGTCTGAATCACGAGGCAAGTTGATGCGGATGTTGATTTGCTTTTGTTTTTTGCTTTTTAATCTTTGACATGCATTTTTCTTGTAATTTTCTTTCTCTTCTGAGGTGTAATTCTAGACTCCAAAATGATCCTAATTAATTAATGATTCTAGCTAATTAAGATTTTTTAAATAGTATTTAGTTCAAAGGTTTTATTGCAGTACCATTAGAAACCACTCATCTTAAAAAACTAAGTTGGGATAGATTTAAGAAGAGCTTATTTTAAAAATTAATTCCATGCTATGTACAGCTAGTTGAATTTCAGTACAGCAGATGCATTAGACCTTGGAAACACTGAAACTCAGTTTTCATTCTAAACAGAAATATAATGATGCCCTCATTATCAATGAGCATGCACGGATGAAAGATGCTCTGGATTACTTGAAAGACTTCTTCACTGATGTCCGAGCTGCAGGATTTGATGAGATTGAGCAGCATCTCACTCAGAGATTCGAAGGTGGGTGGTGTTTCTAGAGGAAGAAGCCACTGGAGCCCTGGTGACTCCAGTGGCAGGATACTCATATTATATTTAGTGTACGGTGATGCTCAGGGAGTTGTCATGGGCTTAAGAAGATAATTATAGACAGCAGGACTATTAAGCTTCAGTGAAGTCTGGTACGTATGGAAAAAATATGCTGTTTACACTATTTCTTATTTTGAAAAAGGAAAAACAAGATTTGCAAAGGATACATCCCATAGAAATTATAATAGGTAGTGGCATTTTTTTTTAATCTATAAGAGACTTTTTAAAGTTCAGTTAGCCAACATATAGTACATCATTAGTTTTTGATTCATTAGTTGCGTATAACACCCAGTGCTCATCAGATCATGCGCCCTCCTTAATGCCCATCACTCAGTTACCCTGCCCCCCTCCTCGCCCCCCTGTCCCTTCTGCAACCCTCAGTTTGTTTCCCGAAGTCCGGAGTCTCTCATGGTTGAGAGCTAGTGGCATTTTTTTTGGTTCAACTTTTAGTAATTTTTCCATGCTTTAAAGGTATAAAAAAAGTGTTTTAATGATTTAGAGAGATTATAATTTATATATACTATATATAAATTTATATATAGAAGAAAACCAAGATGGCCCATAATCCTACTGCTCTTGTATCAAGAAGTATATAGGAAGATTTGAAATAAAAAGTAAGTCCTTCTACCTCTCTCAAAATTCTTTTCCCAAAGGTAATTACTGCTAATAAATTGATTTGGCCTATATCAAAGTATTTAGTATACATAAATGTAGCCCAGTGGTGTGCTGCTATGCATTGAGCACCCAACTGTTTGGGGAAAAATAAGTATGCATTTATTGCTGCATTTAATGTATGCATTAAAGCAGTGGTTATTACTCTTGGAATTCTGGTCAAAGATTGAGAGATTAACTGAAGTATAGCTAAAGGTCACAGTGTGTTCTAAATTTGTAGAATTTATAAGCCATTTATAGAATGTTCCTCTTTTGCAGAAAAGCTGGAGGAACTGGAAAGTGTTTCCATGGATCCCAGCAATGAGAACCCTAAACTCCAAGATCTCTCCTTCATCTTGCAAGAGGAGTACCACTTAAACCCAGAGAGTAGAACCATCCTCTTTGTGAAAACCAGAGCACTTGTGGATGTAAGCTTCTTCCTTCTTGTGGATACCAAATCGACCCAGTACCATTTTACTGAAAAGACTGCCCTTTCCTCACTGCTCTGCAGTCAGGCACCAACCCAAATATGTGTGGGTCTATTTCTAGGCTGTTTATTCTGTTCTGATTATCTCTTGGTTTATCTTTATACAAATACTTCACTGTTTTCATCACTCTGGTTTATAGCAAGTCTTTGTACCTGTAGAACAAGGACTTCATACTTTTAAAATTTTTTTGTCAATTGAAAAAATTTTAGCCATTCTCTGAGCAAGTAATGGTATCTCCCTAGGGTTTGAAAATTCATTTTACTATATTTGCATTTCAGCTAGTGCAGTTGAGCATTTTTCATAAACTTAGTAGCCATCCATATATCTTCTTTGGTGAAGTGTCCGTTCACATCTTTTGCCCATTTTAAAATAGGATTTGATTGAGTTGTTTACCATGTTATTGTTGAGTGTTTAAAAAGTTTTTTATATAGTCTGACAAAAGTCATCTGTCCGAAATGTGACTTGTAAATATTTTCTTCTGGTTTTTTAATTCTCTGAACAGTATCTTTTACTGATTAAAAATTTTAACTTTTCATAAAGTCTATTTTAACAATTTTTTCTTTTGGGGGATTGTGCTTTTGGTATTGTATGTAAGAACCCTTTGCTTACCCAAGATCACCAAGATTTTCTTTGTTATCTTCTCGAAGTTTTATAGTTCTGCAATTTATAATTAGGTCTACAATCCATTTTGAGTTACGAATTAAGATGCTTTTTTTTCTTTTTGTATGTGGATATCCAGTTGCTGCAGGACTATATGTTGAAAAGAATGTCCTTTCTCCATTGAATTGCCTTTGTAACTTTTTGAAAAATCAGTTGGCTCTATTTATGGAGGTCTATTTCTGGATTCTCTCTTCTGTTCTATTCATCTCTATCCATCCACCCTTTCACCCTTCCCATACTGTCTTGATTAGCTTTATGGTGTGAGTCCTCTTTTTTCCTTTTTTCTAAATTATTTTAGCTATCCTCCTTTGCCTTTCCATTTATATTTTAGAATCAGCTCACTCACATATATGAAAAATTCTGCTGGGATTTTGTTTGGGATTGCATTGAATCAATAGATAAAACTGGGGAAAAGTGACATCTTAACAATATGGAGTCTTCCAATCCATGACCATAGTATATCTCTCTCTTTTCATTTATATAGTTTCTGTATAAGTTACCTATTGCTGATAACAAATTACCTCAAAACTTAGTGGCTGGAAACAACAAACTCTTCTCTTGCAATATCTCTGGATCAGGAATCTGGAAACAACTTAGCTGGATGTTTCTGACTCAGGATCTCTCCCCAGGCTCTAGTCATCTCGGACTCTACTTGAAAGGTTTAACTTCCAACCATACCTCCCTGGCTATTGGCAGGCCTCAGAAGATGTGCTTCTGAGCTCACTCATGTGGGCCTCTTCACAGGGCTGCCTCAGAGCATGGCAGCCGGCCTCCTCTAGAGTGAGTGATCCAAGAGAGATTGAGAGAGTATGCCTAATATAGAGGTCAAAGTCATTTCGTAACTTCGACTTGGAAGTGAGCATGTCTTCCATTTTTTATTCATTAGAAGCAGGTCACACTTGAAGGGAGGGGATTACACAGGGATCTGAAGACCAGCAGGTGGAGATTACTGGGAGCCAACCGAGAGGCCACCTAACAATCTTTGGTTTCTTTTATCACCGTTTTGTCGTTTTGGCGTACAGATTCTGCACATATTTTATTAGGCTTATACCTAAGTGTCAATTTTTTAATGCTATTATAAATTGTACTTGCAGTTGCTTGTTGCTGGTGAATAGAAATACAATTGATTTCTGTATATTGATCTTATGTCCTGAGATCTTGCTAAAACTCACTTATTAGTTCTATACTCACTATTCCGAACATTGCTTTTTTCATTTAAATAATGTCTTAGAGATTAAATTGTATCAGATCACAAAGATCTGAACCATTATAGTTAATTATTGCATAGAATTCAGTTCCAAAAAGCTTTTATTCTCAGGTTTGTTAGTCAGACAACTGACTGAACTGTTTACTAACTTAAAGTTTTTTTTCTTCTTGCAATATATCAGCATTGAATTAATAGTTACACAAATGTGTTCTACAGATAGTGTCCAACTGATAATTGCTTTTGACTTTCAGGCTTTGAAGAAATGGATTGAAGAAAATTCTGAACTCAGCTTTCTAAAACCTGGCATATTGACTGGACGTGGCAAAACAAATCACAACACAGGTACTATATATAGTGAGAGTTAGGATACTGTATCTATAAGGATATTTATAATATATTCAAACTCTTTTTTAATGCTTGTGTCAGTCAGGCTCAACTAGAGAAGTAAAACCAGTAAGAGATTATACACACATACATATATACCTATATGTTGTTTATGTGTGTGTGTACACAAACACACACAAACTCATAGGGATTTGGGAATTAGCATGCACAACTGGACTGGCAAAGTGAATCTGAAATCCATAGGGCAGGTGGTCAGGAGCAGGCCTGAACCTCACAGGCATGAGCTGTTTGGAGTCTCTGAGCTCGGGGACTAATGCCTAAGCCTTCTTTCAGAGGGTCAATTGATTATGTCAGGTCAACTGAGGATGAAATCCCTTTTGTAACTTAAATGTTTAGTGATTAGGAACTTCAATTACATCTGCGAATTCCCTTCACAGAAGCACCTAGATCAATAACTGGGTACTGTAGTTCAGCCTAGCCACATTGACCCATCCGAAAGCCATCACAATGTGCGAAGACAAAAACTTGTAGACATCTCTTCCCATAGGTCCTACAGACAAAACCAAAGTTATTTTTAAAAATATTGTTTGAGCACGTCACTCTTTTTCTCCAATTCTCAATCAGTAGATTAAGATTAGCTGGAAATAAAACTGTTCTGTTTCCATTTCATTTTTTTTAAGCTATAGATGCTTTTATGTGTAATATATATATTTTTAATTAAAAAAAAAGTTCAAGCACACAGTCCTGAAATCCAGCTGCAGCGGCTGAAGCATGAAGGGCTGTCTCTGTAACCCTCCAGCAAGACCCCTGGGTGGCCGGCCCCCAGCTGACATTCTCAGAGCTGTGCCCCGCCACCCCTCAGGGACCAGCCGGGACAGACCCTCACCCTGCTCCTCCTGTTTAGTTTTGTGTAGACTAAGCAGTCTCCATCCTGTCAGTGCTCAGTCATCACTCTTGCACTTTCCCCTTATGCAAATTTTAAACTTCATGAATCTAAAAGGTATATTCAGATTTCGAAAATTTAGCTTACCAAATGAAGTCCAATGCCACATTATTGTAGTTGGGATTCAAAGTTCTCTGCAGTCTGACTCTAACATGAGTTGATTTTCAAACTTTGTTATTTCTTTACAACTCAGCACTCAAGACATTTTCTTGTTTGTTCATTTATCCATCCATCCATCCATCACCTATCCATCCATCATCCATCCATCCA